ATTTGGTTTTATACCCTGTATGTCGAGTCAACCAAAAACCTGTAATCAAGCGAATAAAATTTCCATGCGAGGAAGTTTGTGAAATCTTCCAACACTTTCCTCCAAGACACTTTTTTTATTTCACTTAACATGAGACGTCATCACTTCTACTATGCAGATCCCAGCTACTCGTGCATTCGATTCGTCTCCTCAGCTCCATCGTCTACTGCGGTCCTCGAATATTTCGCATGATGCTTTAGCTGATGCTTGAAGATTTCGTCTCCTTTGCGAATGTCGTAGATTGCTGGTCGAGTTTATTCTTTTTCAAGCTTGAAGGTAGCCTAGCTAAGACGTTCGCACGTCAATTGGAGGGAACATTGGAACGGGGGTCGAACTAGTGCCTTTGCCACCTGTCGGACGGCATAACTTACCACTGCGCTATTTGCGCCAGCATAAAAAATTACAATACACGAAGAATTTAAAAAACCTTGAAGATTTGAAAAGGATAGATATTTTGATTAGGTTTCACTTCAGAAACTAAACTAAGAGACTAAGGGGTCGTCTCCCACCTTAACTATAACTGCGGCCTCAGCTTAACTGGGTTCGTTGCCGATTTGGGCCCCCCAGATCAATCCCGTTGACGGGTGATTGCTGATGGCAAAAGATCGATAGAACTAGCTGAGAGACAGGCAAGACGAAGGACCCGGATGGTGTGGTGGTGAAGTGCGCTTCTCCCCGGTAAGGACAACAGCGCGTGTTCGTTTCCCACCGCCTACACCTGCGGTCCGGAGTTTTGCAAATATCTCAGCATCATTGAAGTTATATTTCACAATGTATACCCTGCCGTTGAAAAGAATAGGCAGTAAATAATACGTTAAATTGAGACTATGGGTAGTTATAATTGGGTTCGCGTTCTTGACGAAGTTAACCAATTTGTAAGACCATTGAAACTGGGAGACGGGCAGAAATTTGAGTCCAAAGATAAGTGAGAAAAGGAAAGTAGAAAGAAAGGTAAAAATTAAAAAATGAATGAAAATATATTGGTTGGCAAATTGGTACCATACGTGTTTGAGAGGATAGTAACACTAAATCGACACATCGATAGGCCACCACAAGTTATTGTACATGTCACTTCTTACGATGTATTTCACTAACCCTGTAGGGATGGAAGGTTTGGTGGACCATGGGCGCAGGATCGATTCCATGTTTATGTTGCAGGCCGCCTTCGACCACTGTGCCACATGCGCCCGACCTCTGACAGATCCTCAAAACTTGGTGCTTGTGTATCCAAGCAATGTATAAAAAAGCAGACATGCTGGATGAGAGAAAGGTTAAACTAGCGCAGAAATTTTACGATATATTCGGTGCGCATATCAAAGAGATGGACCTGATTATTTTTTTTACACGTTAATGCAATCTTACTGTTGGTTTGGTATTGTAAAGAATAACGCGTGAACTCTTGAAATGACCTAGATGATCGGATCGCTTACAATTTTTTCATCGTATCTTATCTTATCGCATTGTGTCTGAGTATTTAAATGGAAGTAGGCACTCTTTTAAAATCCTTGGTTGTCGGCGACTCGTGCTCACATCTCCACCTCACCTGAGAAGTTGATGACCGATAGAGTAAGCACGTACATTATTTTTTAAGAATATTGCACAGAAAGTTTATTACAGAATTGTGTGTGCAGAAGTAGATCATTCCTTTTCTTCTGCTTAAAGTATCAACCAGGGTTAAACACGACTTATCCACCAATGTAGAGATCATTAAAAACTATATAATTGTGCGGCAAGATGTGATAGCAAAACAAGGTTTTAACTTTAATAAGCACTCTTTGATTGACAAGGTAACACAGAGTTGACAGAAGAAACTTTATTCGGTTGACGTATCGATATTTTCGCCTTCCTCAAAGTTAAATTGATCCGCGTCGGTTGTCCACACTTCTTCTTTCTTTTGATGTGGGTCCTCTTGATTGCATCGAGCCGAATCCACTGGAGTTCGCAGTAGTTTAAAAACCTTTAAATTCTGAACAAGTGAAGTAGCATTTGCCTCGAATGCATTTATAGCAGTGGTTTAGTTATTAATGAGCTTCTCAGCCAGTAGCTGTTCAGATTGCTTGAATTTGTGCAACATCTGCTCGATCATCGGTGTGCAGGTATAATAGATTCTACTTCATCTGTTGGCTTTCTCTCGACCACTGCAACGCTGCAGTTTTTGTCCGTTGAATTGCTAACATCGCTCTTTTGCTGGGATCAGGAAAGGTTTTCTCTTCACAGAGACCAAAGCAATTCACAATGAAGGGCACTTTGATAGAATTCAGGCTCACTTCTCATAAAAATTTGGTCGCTTTCCTTACATAAAAAAGCGCTGAGCCTACATGAAGTTCAGCCCAATTAATGGTGCTTCATTATCGAGCCATCGCACTTTCTACTGCTTTGGAGTTTTTAACTACTGTTTTGTTTAATTATAAAAGCTGAGAGTTTTTCTGCAGATGTTTTCGGATGAGCAGCTATCGGCTGCGGACAGTCGCCGTCCTGTGATTAAAGATATCTATAACTCGTATATAATGCTGAGATATTTGCAAAACTTTGGACCGCAGGTGTATGCGGTGGGGAACGAACGCGCCCTATTGTCCTTACCGTGGAGTGGCGCACTTCACCACCACACCATCCGGGTTCTTCGTTTTGCCTGTCTCTCAGGCTAGTTCTATTGATCTTTTGCCATCAGCAATCACACGTCAACGGGATTGATCTGAGGAGCCCAAATCGGCATTGAACCCAGTTAAGCTGGAGCTTAGTTATAATCACAATCTTAACCCTTTTATTTACTGCCTTTTTCTTTTTAATGGCAGGGTTCGGAGTTTTGCAAATATCTCAGCATTATATACGAGTTATATTTCGCAACATACCTTGCCATTGAAAAGAAAAAGGCAGTAAATAAAAGGGTTAAGATGTCTATAACGTTCTCCATTATTATTCAGCGGCTCGTATGCCATGTATACCTTACATATATAGCCATACCATATAGAACCTTACAAACCATTTTTTCATTGTGCTTTCCGTATCCTTTATGTGTACCATGCCTTGACGGTATTTGAAGCTCCTAATGTCTGCTTATGTGGACGTCCGAGTTTGAACTCAAGCCACGATATTATTTTCATGACTTCAGAGCACCATTCTGTAGGACGCTGATCAAGATATGAGCGTTTAAACCCTGCTGAAACAAAATATTGAGAAAATACTTATTTAAAAAATTTTCTTACGAACTCGTTAATGACGCAACCTGCCATCATTTCGTTCATCATCCTATTTATCGTTTGCTTTCAGCTCATTGTGTTTCAACCAAGACGTTCTTTAAGGTTACAACGTCGTGGTTTCTTGCGATACTAGTTCCACTTAGCCTTTTGGTACCAAAGATAACGGATCCATGTGAAGATGAGGCTGAGCGCTCCGATACTCCCATGGTCACAGCTGAGATGCTCACCAAATTCATCAATTTCTCGGTCAGATACTGATAGTAACTTTGCGTTTAAAAGCGAACAGCGAACATAAAAAAGCTCCATAATAAAATTATTATTTGAAATTACTTGTCTCATTTCAGAATTTTTTTCGAAATTCTTGTAAAACAAAAAATTTCAAAAATACGAGATTTTATATCTCCGAGTGAAATTGGGTTGTCCGAAAAACAAGGATAACGCAAAGAAAAAACAAATGAAAGGTAGGAGAGATAGAAAACAAATTATTCTCCATCAATCAAAAATTTTTTCTGCGAATAAGAGTAGAAAAGGTCACAACTCCGTTTTGTAGATTCGACTCCTATCTGCGGTTAAAGTAGATCCAAGGGTGCGTGTGGCGTAGTGGTCGGAGGCGCAGCACACACGTGGAATCGATCCCCGCGTCCATGGCTCACGAAGCCTTCCATCTTACCGGGGTCGGCAAATTGGTACAAGACTAGTCTGGGAGAATAGTAGCACTGGGTTGATACATCGGTAGGCTACAGCAAGTTATGGTCAATGCCAGATATAAATTCAATCACCTCCAACCATATTTAGTGAAGTCGAATGGATGGTGCATCCTTCAAGGATTGATCAACGCCGAGAGATTTACCCTTTTAGCTTTAAGGTAAATCCATGTTCGGACTTCTTTGAATTCACTTGTGGAATCTGGAAAGATGAACATCTCGTTGGACCATGCAAAAGTGCCATTAATCAGTTTGAGATTCTGCGAGAAAAGGTTGCGACAGAAATGAGAGGTAATAATTACAGTATTAAAAGTGAGTTTGTTTCCATAGTACACATAGGTGCTCGTTATAGACGTAGTCAACTTACTATTTGAGATAAACTCGTATGATTGGAATATTAATAGCGAATGATTGTATTTCGTCGTTTTTGTGCGATTTTAATGACCCACTCTTAAGCAATCTTCGAGTCGTCCGAGGTTTCCCAGTCGAAATCTGCACGTGCCGTGAAGGCAATATACCGTAAATGTATGGATAGGGAGGAACTGAACCGTATCGGTGCTAAAAACATGATTCGTGAGATACGAGTAGGTTTTCTCGAAGGTTTAGTGTGTCATAATAATTTGGTGTAGATGGAACAAATTAAACCTTAAGTGTAAATATTGCACGGCACTTTAGAGAGAATTAGAAAAGCGTTAGCTCCACCAATGTAGGATAAATTGTGGGATAAAAAGAGCAAATGGCATAACTTTGGTTAGACGCCTTTTCTTAGACAAGGGATAGATTGACGGACTTTTCTATGGCATTTACTTCTTTTACCATTGTTTTTCGGCTGAAATGCCAAATTCATTTTTAACTTGGGAAGTTCTAAGGTGGGCTGACCTCTCTGGACATCGTAGATAAACAGCCAGAAGCATCCCCACCAGTTATACTGCATTCACATCATGGAAGAGACCTGCAGCTCTGGTAGAAACGAAAGAACGATGGCCAAAAATTGTAGGTGCGAATTGCGGAATTAGCAGACTATAAATTGTAAAATGACCTTTTGAGAAATCTGTTTACACCTACATTGAGATTTTGCGAGTACAAGAGCACAAAATTTGGATACTCGGACGACCTGTCTTAACTAGTTGTGCGTACCCCTGCACATTTGCTATTCGTTTCTTTCCCTCGCAAACGCCGTCCATAGTGGTGGTTTTATCACAGCATTGTGGAGCGCGCGAGTCTCACACCGTGATCTGTGAAACAACTGCGGCTGCGAGTACAGCCGACTAACGTTGATTACGAACACGACCGCTTAACGTGTAGGTGGCCACCTTTGGAGCCGTCTGCATTTTCGTGGAGTCCACTCTACTGTTTTTTTCGTCCATCTGTCGTCTGTTCTTCTCATTATGTGACCGCCCCATCTATGTTTCGCTGTCAATATATGTTTTTCTGGATCCCGAAGATGTGACAGATTTCGGAGAACAGAGCTTTGTATTCCGGCTAGATATTGAGAGTGCCGGTTATATTTCAGAAGATGTCGTTCAAGCACTTTGTGAGTAGTGCGGAATATTCTTGACGTGGTTGAAATATGGAGAGCACTCTGTGAACATGCATAACTTCGGCAGTCAACAATTTTTTCAACAACGAGTACGCCTAATAGAAGTGCATCTGTATACATGAGCTCTATAACCTCCTACTCTACCGTTAAGATGAGGTGTTCATAAGTGAGGTGCATAAGTACACAAGGAAATCTTGGAGCGTTGCATAGCAGAAGTAAGTAGTCTCTGCCTCTCTAGAAACCAGGTAAAATCGACAGTCGAGAATCCGAGAAAGCGTGCTTTGGGATTTATAATGAATATGTCATAATGTCTTAAGTCGTCCAAGGTGGCTAAAAGTATTTAGTATATGTTGTTCACTGTCATTCTTATTGTATGAAGACAAGTATTTGTACTTTTTTTTTCGTATTGTATGTATGTATTGTTCAAAAAGTTAGACAAAAGGTTCACAAACATGGCATAGAACTCTCTATTACCAGTGTAGGGTTGCGGTGTTTCCTGGCCAATGTTAGATAGAGAAAAATGGCGTCGAGAACGTTTCAACTTAACGACGCTTCTCATCGACGCCTTTGAGAGCAGAGGGCTTCAAGTCTTTATCAAAATCGACGTCACGATCGACTCAAAAAATACTTCGCGAGCACTGATTGAGGTAGCAGAGTTGAATTCTTTAATAATAAACCAATATACTCTACCAAAATAAAAAAACCATTTATAGCACCAATAATAAGAAATAAAAATATTAAACCTCATACTTTATAGTTGTATAGCCAAAATTCCCGCTGTCGCTTTTTTTATTTTAGACTCTTCCATTGTTTGGAAATGACTGTGCGTAGTTTGCTAGTAGTATCCTTTTTCAGTTTAGTCAAGGACGTCTAGGCTTGGGTCCGCATCGAGATTACTACTTAGACAGGGAAAAGTATAGGGTTAAGATTGCTGCTTATAAAGAGCTACTTATCAGATTGGTTAGTTTACCTGAGTATATCGAAGCTTCTTGTGGTATAAGAAATTAAGCAACTTGTATGGGAGAGAACAAATCTGGTAAGTTGAAAATTTCAGGTTAAACTAATCCACGACGACGCCAATGTTTCTATAAAAGAGGAACAAATTGCATACGATGTGGAAGCGATCATTGACTTCGAAAGCAAACTGGCGAAAATCGTAGTAGCTACTGAAGATCTAAGCAATTTCACTGAAATGTACAATCTGAGACGTCTTAGTGATATGCAAACACTCATGCCTCTGGTAGGTATTTCACTCACCAGAAGAGCGCAACAACAAGAATGTGCATTTTTCGCAAGAGTGTAACAAGGAGATAAAACAAAAGTACGAGTCAGGTTAACTGGACCAGTTACTTTTATTCCGTCACTCCACCATCCATCCACAACTACCTAGCTGCAGATCCACAAATACTCATTGCAGAAATCGACTACATGGGGAGGTGCCGTCAATCTTGGAGTTTTCTTGAAGTTTGCAAATCACAATTCGATTTCAGGCTCACCACTCTACTCAACTTCACAGATCCTGTGACTATCACAAACTACGTTTACACTCGCTATACTCTCACCTGGGGTGGCGAACTTGGAGAGCAATATGAAGGAGTTGCCAAGGTTAGTAATAAGCCTGAGCACGTGAGTACCGAGAAGTTCGACTATAATTAAGGTCCATGGTTGGTATTATGTAGACATACCTTACATCTTTACTAAAACAGAAAACGAAATTTAAAATCAGAAGCAATATAAAGTGTGGGGCACACCATATTTGATTTGCTGCATCGGTTTTCATTTTGAATAAATTATCAATGATTTTTCCCAATGGTTTGCCGCCTCATCGTCGCTAGGAGGTGTTCCCGGGTATCAGGCTGCGATTCGGAAAATTAATTCCTATGGCAGGGTCTCCCAAGCTGAGAAGGAGTCCTGCGTTTTCATCAGGAAGCCTAGCTAAGAGTAAACCAATACAAGGATCCGCCATCGTCCTGGTATCAAAGTCGCATGGTGGCAAATCTCCCTCTGATCCACAAAGACCGTGACTGCCAGTGGTGGTGAAAACCTGGGTCAGAGTTCGGTCATGCTGACCTCGAAATTTCAGGGAACCACAATTGCTTAACTAGCAATTCTCCGACGGAGACTATGTAGGCCCGCACAATAGTGAGGAGGGATCATTCAAGTATGAAGTATCAAGTTCCAATAATTAGGAGTTTCTCACTATGATTAGGAATATCCTCACATAATATTTCATCAGATAACTGATCATTCATAAAACTTTTGTAGCCATTACTTCTCCAACGCTCTGCTCCAATCCACGTGAAGACATCTTAACCCGGCTATCTTCGAGATTGCAAGGAGAATCAATTCGACTAGCACTCTACGACACATAAACGGAAGGCGAAATCCCTAAACAACATCCAATACAACATGCGAACTGTTCGAACACTGTTGTGAACGCAAAATACGAGGAAAACAAGTCGTATTCAAGAAGTGCTGGAACCCCTAAAGTAGATGTGATGACAGGTCATGCAAATGTAAATAAATAAACTAAAAGTCCTACTAAACCACGTGAAAAAGTTTTTTTTTAATTGTTGGAACACCCATTTTGCTAACGCGGAAAGCGTGCTAATAGCCTAGCTATTAATCTTTTGTGGAGAAGTCTTATCTATTTTGTTATATTTCCAGGAGTTCCACTACCTCATGTTCGGGCAAAGGGAAACAACTCCTTTGTGGAAAAGATGTGTAGGTGGTGCTATGGCGCGAATGCAATATGCTTCCGGTGCATTATACGTTAGGAAAGCATTTAATGAGGTTGGTTCTAAATTCATCAAATTTCAAAAGGGTCTTCTATCAATGCAGCTGTTGTTGGAAGGTAAATACTTTCAAAAGAAAAGGAAAAACCTCGATCAATAGGTTGCAATATGAAATCGCCAATTAACCCTTTCTCTACAATTTTTTACAACACTTGAGTGAAAGTGGCACTGCGAAGAATTTTGCCTTCTAAAGGAAACCAAATATGCGGCAATGGAGATGGTCGTCAATCTGCAAGAGGCATTCAACGACATTCTGCTCGAGAACGACTGGCTTGGCAACACTACGAAAGCGGTCAGTGGAGAATCTTTTCAGAAAAAAAGAGTATTGAAATCAACTCAAGTAATTAGGCTGCGCTCGATAAAGCAAGCCAGATGCTGCTACAAATCGGATATCCAGATTTCATCCTTGATGACGAGAAGCTGGACAGATACTACAGTGAGGTAAGTGCGAATGAATGGCTCTTTACTCGTTGCAAGCTTCGACTTACCCTTTCAGACACCTCAGCTGTGAAGAACGTAAAAAGCGATTAAGGCATGCCTTTGAAAATAATGGCCGTTTTAAAATATTTAAGATTTTGAGAATGATATAACTTTTTGTCGGACTAACATGAGGTTTTTTCCCATCAAGAAACGTTTTTAGTCTAGCTAAGCACCATAACGTAACCAGACAAAATTCTACTAGTGAGATTATGTTTGTGTCGAATAGCGAGCGGAAAGGAAGGCATGTTTTTCCAAACGGTCCACAAGCTGAGAATGAGACCAATATTTCTGCTTAGAAGTGCAACAAAAGTCTAAACTTATGCTGTGACAAATGCAAGCTACGCTTGGCCACCTTTTCACTAGAAATGGCGTAAATCTTTCGTCAGACTGAGCGTAGACGACTTTTCTAACTCTAGAAAGAACCATAAGTTACATTTCGGTGGGTTACGCTCAAATGAGGAGCGTGTAACACAGTGGTTAAAAGTGCCCTTCAATACACACGCGGTCTTTAGCTCAATCTCGTGCCACGAGCTCACAAGCCCTTCTATTTCTCCAGGCTCGGTAAACTGATGCCAATCTTATGTGGGAAGATAGCAGCACTGATTTGATACAGTGGTGGGCGATCGCGAGTCACTATATAGGTCACAAATGAACTACATTACCTTAAACGATTCTTAGTGAAGTCTAGTGCATGAAACATCGTTCAGAGATTGATCAACGCCGAGAGTTTTATCCTTTATCCCCTTTATTAATCAAATTTGTGCGAAAGCCCAAAAAACTTTGAGTGCCTACTTCCAGCTCTCTATCAAGGAAGTGGATTCGTACACTCAGATGCTGGAAAAGTTGAATCGATGGAAAAGTGACTTCGACTTTAAACGTCTCATAAAGCCGGTCAATAGGAATGAATTTGATTTCAACCCTGCAAGCGTGAACGCCTTCTATAATCCGCACACAAATTCTATTAGTAAGCAAGCCATGTCTATTTTCCGTGTCTTTGCCATTAGTAAAAATATGGCTAAGATTTTGCCTAACTACCTTTATAACTTCTACGAAAGTCCAATCCGTGTTTTGCACAAGCTTTTGCAATTTTTTTGCCAATTCTGGAGGTTACAAACTAAGCAACGATGTTTGAGCATCACTACTTTTTCCAGCGAGGTAAAAGAAATATTAGGTAAGATCAGGAAGCTTTCACGAAACCTTCTATCTACTTTGAGTTTTTTCTAGAGTTCCCAGCAGGCATCCTTCAAGAGCCCTTTTTCCACGAAGCTTCTCCAAAGTAAGGTTTTCATATGTGAGGAAAAGAATTTTTATAAAAACCGTTATCCATTGCTGGGAAAAAACAAGTCATAAGAGAAAAGAAACAGAGAACTGTCACTGAATGCGACATTCAAACTAGTCCAGGAGGGAACGAATCACAATCTGGCAATCTCATTTCAGAGCGCTGAACTATGGAGGAATTGGAGTGGTTATTGGGCATGAGATCACTCACGGATTTGACGATGCAGGTTCCCTTAAGTTCATTTGTGGTTCACCATTTCCCAAATCCACTTTAGTTCACTTTCTTTTGCTTTTTACTTTTTTTAGGAAATTAAGAAGTCACTTTCCCGTTTTTTTCAAACAATTAAATTTCACTTAAAAAAACGACAGAGGTGTCTGTCATTTTCTGTAAGAAATTGCACGTTATGCAAATCTTATCACTCCTTCCATTCCATGCGTTTCCTCGTATTCACTATCCACAAAAGTATTCAGATTTACTATGTAAGTTCGACAACTGCTTGAAGATTTTACCGTTCCATATGAATATTACTGAGTGGTGACCAAGAAAAATTCTCCTTGTCTTCGTCAAACTTAAGCGCGAGCCAATTTTTTAATTCAAGAAACTGGACTGATCACAGACTGGTCTGGTTGCGATTTCGTCGGTTGGATAATAAAGAATTATTTTGTCTGGTCCAGGTTCGAATGATTTCATGAGGAATCTGAGTACAGTTACGATGACAATATGCGGTCCAGTGTTGCCCTCGATAAGCAAATAAGTCCATATTCGTTCGAGGATAGTGCGAAGTGAAAACACTTTGACAGTTTGTTGAGCACCCATCGTCCTCCACTTCGTTATTCGCTTAGCCAGGAGCCGAATAAATGCTAACTCATTACTACTTCTGACAACAACAAGACACTAAGCAATATCGCTGATTTAATTTTTCTATTCAAAAGAATCAGCCGAGAGCTCACTTACACTCTCATCCATCCCGCCATGGTCGGGAACACGTTTGGGAAAACCTCATTCTTTGCAATCCAAGTGTGAGCACTCTAACTCAGCTATCAAAGGACTTAGGAGAATAGGCTTGAGCAGCATTTAACCATGTTCATAGAAAAGGTTATAGTCCCCAAGTAGCACCCAAATGCACGTATGAAAATATATTCGTAGATGATCGGTGAAGAAGCGAATCCAATTTAATAAGGGCAGGTATCGGAGCAGTACTTTGAAGACGGCTCTTGTAAACAAAATCTCACAGGAAGCCAACATGATGCCGTTGGAGGTCTGCGAAATTGGTGGAACAGCGATGTTGAGAAGGAGTTCTTAAAGCGGGCGCAATGCATCATTGACCAGTACAGCAAGATAAAGGTAAGTTCGAAGAACGACCGCCAGCTGTGGCGGTGAAGATTCCAAGTGTTTGAACGAAATTATTTGAAAAACAAAAAAAATTACCGTCTTCTGAAAATGAACCTACGGTATATACGATAATAGATGCTTTGAACGAAGGAAGAGTACGTTGCATTCCTCTATCTGAGACTTAATTTTTAATGTGGGAGTCGGCGTGTTTACATCCAAAAACAGGATGGACGGGCAGATATCTTAGGAATGTCGTTGATCGATATTTTACGATTTTCTGTAGCTGTAGAATGGGTGGAAGAGCTCCACAAAGAAATTCACTTCAGGTTCCCGAAACTGGCCAATATCTGAATGGCAAGCTAACACAAGGAGAAAATATTGCCGATAACGGTGGAGTAAAGGTAGCATTCAAGGTAATTTTTCAATCTAACATTAAGACCTACGCCTTATTCCATTAGATTTTCTTTAAAAAGGTTTTACATTTATTCGTTTATTTTGAAAAAAGGTGGAGTTGCTAGCGAAGATGAGTTCCGTTTCCTTCGAAACTTTAAACAATCTTGAAAACATACCAAATGCAATAAATGTAATTTTTCGGCTTACAAAAGTTACCTAAAGAAATATGGAGAAGAAAAACGCATTAAAGGACTTGAACAGTTCAGTAACGAGCAAATGTTCTTTATCGGATACGGCACGGTAGGTGAAACTGATTTTCTTGGTTTACACTTCCGTTCAGCCATCTTTTTAGTTATTTTTTTCGCCTATAAGCACCAATGTGGTATGGCATATATAGCACTCTTAAGCGCACTATTTTAAGACGAAAAAAACCATACACTAACCATTGTAGGAGTGTCGTGCTACGTAACGGGCGGTATCACTGCTATTAAAAAGACGCATGTCGTGCGGTGGTTGGAGGCACCCTGCAACACATATGGGATTGATTCCCCGCCCATGGCCCACCAATCCTTCCATCCCTCCAGGATCGGCAAATTGGTACTAGACCTGTCCAGGAGGATGGCAACACTCATTCGCTCGATAAATCGGTAGGCCACCATGAGTCACTGTAAAGGTCAGATATGCATTCAATCACCTCCAACGATGCTTAATGAAGTGGAATGCATGGCTCATCACTCGGGGATTGAACAACCCAGGAAACTTTATCCTCTTTTTTACCACTGCTACTAAGTTGCTTAGAAATTACTGTCGGATTTGCAATTTCCTTTTCTTCGAATGATGTGCTATTACATGTCATTACAAGCTTTCTAAGATCCATTGAGTTTTTGCCATTTTTAAACATTACAATTACTTGGTACTTATACTTGTGCGGGCCGCAGCATAATTATCATTTTTCGGAGATTTGCTGGTTAAGCCACTGTGATTCTCTGGAATCCTGTGGACAGCCTGGCCAAAGCCCGCCCCGGGTCGTCACCACGGCAGGCAGTCGCAGCCCTTGTGGATCAGAGGAGGATTTGTCACCATGCGACTTTAATACCAAGATGGTGGTAGATCTTGGTGTTGGTTAACTGTTAGCTAAGCTTTATAATGGAAAAGCCGGATTCCTTTTCAGCTTAGGAGAACCTGCCAGAGAGACGAATCCACCTGCTGTATATCGTAGTCCGACACCCAGGAACACCTCCAACCACGATGACGCGGTAAACCGTTGGGAGAAAACATTACAATTATTTGTGTCAAAATAGTAATCCTGTCAAATCAATCTTTTCGAATTCAAATCGGCAATAGTACAGTGCAATCGCCTCGATACGTTAAAAAGGTGTGGGCCAATGTAATGTTAAGCAAAGCGTAGTGGAACGTAGGTTTGGAAACTCCGTCGTGGTGAATTCGACCTTAATGATGAGGAGTGTACCAGGAGCTCAAAAAATGAATGCTGAAGCAGTTGAATTAAATTGGAAAGAATCGCCGTTTCAAAGTGTCGTCGGCACTCACTCTTCCTGGACAGCAGGGACGAGCAACATGGTGACCGTATGGTGAGCTGCGACGGTGAATTTTTGACTGTATAGATAACGGTCGACAATCCGCCCAATGGTTAGACCGGAATGAAGCAGCGCAGCAGTTCCAAAAGCGGAAATTGATGCGAAAAAAGTCATGTTGACCGTTCCGTTTGCTGGTCTGCTGTTGGTTCATTCCGTCATACCACATCTTGAATCCGAGTGAAGCAATTACGGCGACAAAAGTGTTTCTAGAATGTCGAAGAGACGCACTGGAAACTTTAGTGGTCCTGTCCTTAAGTGGTCATCAGAAAGGCATAAATGCTTTTCAACGAGGACGTGTGGCTACATGTCGCACCACGACGCTGCAGAAGTTCGACGAGCTGAACTACGCAACTTTGCTTCATCCATCATGCTTAGCAAACCTCTTGCCTTTCGACCACCACTTCTCCAAACATCTTGACATCTTCCTGTACGAGAACTGGTTTGGAAACTAATTTGCGGTTAGAACTTCCTTCAACGACTTCATCTTTTCCAGAAGTTTGGAATTTTATTCTTACGTGAATTAATATAGCTAGCACTAACCTAAGCTATTCAATTCTGAAAATACAGAGGTTAAAATCCGCCATTCACTTTCGAACAACCTAATAAGGCACAGGGCTCGCTGGTTCGATATTCGGACAGGATCTACAGCTTTTCAGTACACCTAGAGGCAGTGCATTTGGTGACAATGAATCCCACGTTGAAAAAACGAGAAATATTTGTTTTTAGGTTGACTGCGCTATGAAAGAAAAGACAGCCGCACCCACATAGAACCACTAACAAGAATCTCTACATGAAATGTCAGAAATCTTTTTAACCTTAAATGACTCTGCCTTCGCATGTTTTCTCCGTTCTGCATTCAGGAGTGCACTCCGCAAGGTCGATATATGCCACTAAGGGAAGTAGCACAGTGTATCCACCTTCCTGAACAAATTATAGTTGTATTCCGCAATGTATTTGTCAATGATTTTTCAGCTATTGTTTTTTGGTTGCAGAAGAAATGACAAAAAAGATACAGAAAGTAAAGATTTGCAGATTTGGTGTGCTCATGCAACGAGAGACTATTCGTGGGCAAGCATTCTAACTGATTCACATGCTCCTCAGAAATATCGGTATGTGTTTCACGACCTGAATTCTCAACCCTACAGCGTAGAAGTACAAGCACTTTAGAGGTGTTTTCATTCGTAGAGGTTTCAGTGAATTTTTTTCTTCAATATGAAGATGGAAAAACACTTAAAGCAAGGATTATGCCACAAAATTGTTTTCAAGTGTTCTAGTTGTAGATTCGTTAGAGAACTTGGATTTTCTTCAGTGTAAATCGAGTGCTGGCTAATCGACCAGAATTCGCCGCTGCATTTAACTGTGCTGTCGGCACACCAATGAACCCGACGGATCGGTGTGCCATTTGGTAGGCGCAAATGACGGCGACAGTTACAGAGCCGAATTTTCATCCTTTGTTTTTCATATAATATTTGCGCCTCCATTTTATATTGTTTTACGCTTTTTTGTACCGTATTCATATTCTATTTTCGCCTATTTCCTTGTCAAGTCAACGCACATTAACTGTAAAAGTCGCCCATCATTGCTTGCAGCTGTTCCTTCAGTACGCCAGTATTGCGATTGGATTTGTTTGATTTGGTTTCATTTGATTTGATTTACGTACCTTGAGTAGTATTATATTAAACAGTGCCTAATGCAGAAGAGTTATGTGTAGGTTATGATAAAAAAGAACAAAGCTCTCGGCGTTGATTTATCACTGAAGGACGGGCCATGTATTTCACCTCAAAGTATCGTTTGGAGGTGATTAAATGCATATCTGGTCATTACAATGGCTCGCGGTGGCCTACCGATGTATCGAGCCCGTGCTGCTATCCTCCCAGACAAGTATGGTACCAATTTTCGGACCCCGGAAAGATGCAAATAAAAGTTAAAGCATTGAAAACTTTTCACTTTTTACATCTCCGTAGTAAAATATGTCCGCAGAAATGATAAAATGCTGACGAGGAAACAACTGTTTATTCTTAGATTAACATAAAAACTCCACCCGTGACCGACATGGCACGTGTGGAGCAGTGGTCGGAGGCGTTTCCTACAATACACATGTGGATCGGCTCCTGCGCAGGTGTCTCACCAAGCCTTCCGTAATGAAACCAGTATTTTGTTAAAAATGTAGTGTTTTAGTTTCGTCCAGGGAACAACCTTGGGCTAAAAAGCGATTAACAAATCCTTTGTTTCCCAATGAACAATGGTTAATTTTGGTACGTCTCCTGTATCAAGTGTTTAATTTCTTCTCTTGCAATTACACTTCATCTGGTTCAATGCTCATCAGGATATAGCAATAGCTTGCGCTGCTCTACCGATGTATCAGTTCAATATCTTAACGTAATTTACCCATTTGGATACCTGAGTGGCCCGTCATCACAGCTTGTGCGGGTCCTAACATAACTTCGACTTATTTCTTTTTTGCTCAATCGTTGTCCATGGTGGTAGTCCACTCCGAACATGGTAACGCGTTCAAAGCCCATTCTATTCCTATTTCTATGTTGCCTTATGTCTTCTACAATAACTGTTTTACTTGTAATCGTTATACATCTATCCTTGCCTCTTCTCTAAATTATCTCGTAACGACCATTCATGCAGTTGCCTCGCAGGCGACTGGAAAGGGAATCAGCAGCAATCAGCTGAATGTACATTCCAGCATCTGCCGTCCCATCGTAGCGTCCAGTGTTCATCCAGTCCCTCAGTTCCTCAGTGCTTCAACTCCAGTGTCCGCCTAGCTTCCTTCAATTCCATCATTTGTTCTCATTTCAATCTCGCTCGTATACACCCAGCTAACCACATATCGTCTCATATCACGTATTATTATTGTACCGTTGTTATTTCTATAAACTGCTATAACCCAAACTCGAGGTTGTTCACGGCAGTTACGGAAGAAGTTCCACGTGGTGATCTCGTACAAAGTCGAGCATTCCACGTAAGGATGGCGGACAAAAGACAAATCCGACCAACTCCCTAATCCACTGGCCAACTAGCACAGTTGATTTCAAAGATACGAATTTCGCATTACGGCAAGGTGTTGTGAGTGGCGGTTAAGTTTCAAAAGACATCGTTCGAGCGCTTTGTGAGTACTGCTCATTATTCCTGATGTGGCTGAACTATCAGCCCACGTTTCTGCTGCATGCCAAGGCACCGGAGGACTGCTGAATCAAAAAGGTGAGCGTGGAGTTTTGGGTACGTCAGTTGGTTTGTGGCTTCTTTGTGAGACCAGAATGCGGTCCATGGTGCTTCCCTTCTGACCAATTTCTCCTTCATGTTGTCTTCCATGTTCGTTGAACATTTAAGGTACAAGTATGTGGTGGTGCCAATAAGCAGAGAGCCAAAACGTTCGATTTGTCCACTTTAACATCACGAGCTCTTCACAAACTGTGTGCTGGTCCTATCTATGCGCAGTCCAATCTTTTTCTCCTCTTCGTTGAGTCCATTGAGCACCCTCTCTACTTCACTGGCACCCTTCGAGAAGATGACTACGTCGTCAGCGAAACAAATATTTGATAGCAATTTTTCATCAGTACGTATGTTTTTCTCATTCCAATCAATTGACTTCATTATCCATTGCGGCGAATGAGTAAACAGTTTTGGCGATGTGATGTTGCCTTATCGAACCATTTCTCCCATATGTATGGTAAGAATTCGATGGAAAGCTGTATTTTCGTAGTGCAGTTCCGATAACTGTCAAACGGAGTTCTTACGCAGGACGGGTCCACCCTTAGGTCGACCGACGCTGATAGGATTACATTCGTTTCGAAGCGCTTTCTCGTAGACGATAAAGGTTAGAACAAAGGGAATATAGTGCTCCGGACATACTTCTGTGACTGTGATACAGTTCGGACGTGGTCCATGCGGCAGAATCTCTATCGGAATCCTGCTTGCTCAATAAGTTGTACCTTATCTATGGCCTTCGATATGCGCAAAAGTATAATGTTCATAAACAGCTCTGTAGACATTCAATAAGCGTATTGGATGACAGTTACGAAGCTCCCTTTTTGGCCTATTTCTGGGCGGTATGACCGTGGGGGAAATCCTTCACTGGTCTGGGATTTTCTCTTTCTGAAGGTAGGATGTCATGTGGCGTTGCGAGAAGCATATGTAATTTGTAACAACGATCTCTAAGTAAATGGGTGGCAACACTATTGGGCTCTGGAGCTGTGCTTCTCTTCATGCTTTCTACTACAACTCGAGCTTCGGTGGGCATAATGCCCGGCCGTTTTCCACCAACGGAGATTTCGGGGCCATTACGGGAATTATGGAGTGTAAATGATTTGTATAGACACGGTTTCATCTGTTTCTTTCCGTCATCTGTTTCATATTGTGGTGGGATGTCGTAATCGCCATATTTTCGTCTATCAGCTCAAGTAAGGGAACGTTGTAGTTGCTAAAATCTTGATGGAATTTCTTCAGACTGCATTGTTACTGAGCTGCTTCCATTAACCTTCTCTCCCTATACCGATGTAAATCCTTTTGCAAAGGTCTTCTACTGCTGGCATAGATCATGAGATGTGTTACATGTGTTGCAATAGGATCAAGCTTCAGTGTATTTCTCTTTTCGAGCAACTCCATAGTGGTGATAGAGATGTGGTGCCAACTTCTTCCTTAGGGAACTGAAGCGAGTTCACCCTACAAGGATACACAGCATCAACGTCAGAAGAGGGCTTAGACAAAGCGATACCATGTTGGCGAAATTATTCACCGTCACCTTCGAGAACGTCATGCGAGCATTGGCATGGGACAGCATAAGACGGCTTTGGTGATCACTTCACTCTTATAACACTGTCAGGAGGAGTGAATGTTACAGACCGTGACAACGCTTGTGAAAGATTGACCTTCGACTAATCTCATTAAAACGGTCCCCATGAGGAATGGAATAGTTATGTATGCCCCATTCACAATCAACGGACTGAGCATCTCCGAATGCTCCAGTTGTGTCTATCTAGATCGGGAAGTCAACATGATGAATGACTTAACTCCGCAGTTGAGCGGAAGGAAACGAACATCTGGGGGAGCTTTCAAAGGCATCGAGGATTCAGTGAAGACAACAAAGAACATCCGACTCCATGCACACCTTTCCGACTCCCCTTATAAACCTAACTGCTGGGCAAGCAGGATGAAAGACCACTCAGCGTTATTGAATTTGCACTCGAAAGGACGATGCTAGGACTATTACTTGTCGTATATCCTGCCTTTAAAAAGAGCAGGCAGTAGATAATAAGTTAAAGTTGTGATTATAACTAGAGCTTCAGCTTAACTGGGGTGGTCGCCGATTTAGGTTCCCCAGATCAATCCCGCTGACGGTGTTTGCTGATGGCATAGATCGATAGAACTAGTTGAGAGACAGTCGAAACGAAGGACCGGCATGGTGTGGTGGGAAACGCGTTACTCCCCGGAAAGGGTGATATCGCGTTCGTTTCCCACTGTGAACACCTGCGTTCTAAACTTTTGCAAATATCTCAGCATTATTGTGGTTGACTCACACATAATAACCTGCCTTGAAAAATTGTGTTAGGCAGCGAATAAAAAGTTAACATTGTCTGTGCTATTCGGCTCAGAGAACCTCGTCAAAAACCAGAAAAATTCTTTTCACGTTTAGAAAAATAGAGACAAAAATCTAAAGACTTAATGATATCAAAAAAAGAAACAGCCACAATCACGAAATAAGCGAGTGGTCCATTTCTGTGTCCATTAGCCTACAACTAATCTCTGAATCACTGTCTATTGGTTTTCAACAAAACAACAAGTGTACCACTGAAGTGTTGTTATAAATACAACACAGAGTTGAGCCATCATATTTGGACGGTTTCAGAAACCACTTTGATACATATCATTTGCCTGCCGTTGTTTTTCAGTACTGTCTATTGGGCACCAACATAAACCAACCAGCGTAGGTAAGATAGAATTTGTCATTCCCAACAAGAAAAGCACGTTATTTATTCCTGCTGTAACTCAAACTGAAGTCCGATGGCTAGTTTTCCTCAACACCGTACCTATAAATGATAAAAGACAAAGGGTTCGATGTTGATCTATCAATTTCTTGAGGATGTGCCAAGCATTCGACTTCATCAACCATCGTTAGAGGTGATTAGAGGCATAACTGACTTTTACGTGAGGTGGACTACTTATGCATCATGTCATTGCTGCCATATTCGCAAAGTGGTCTAGTACCAACGTGAGTGAAAGCCTACAATATCTCGCATTCCAGCGTCTTCTGTATCAGCAATGGTGGAATCAGTGGCTGTGATTTCTATCATAACCAACTTAGCCGAAGACACCGGCTGACTCGCGATACTCTTGTAGTGGTTGGTACGGGAGAACCTGAAGATCGAGTATTAGCACATTCTCCGAGAGCGATACTTTCGACATTACCAAAGCCTCATTTTCTTTGATAACTGCTGTTAATCCGTTGGCAGCTGGTATATTCGAAAATTAGAAAACCAGAACACATTTTGCCCTACTACTTTAAGCGTGCAAGTAAGATTCGGCTTTACTGTACAATATTTGAAAAACATCGAGACAATGTTATACCTTTTCATTTTCTGCCTACTATGATTTCGCGGCAGGGTACTAAGCGAAATACAACCACAACGTTGCTGAGATATTTGCAAAATTCTGGACCGCAGGTGTCTATGGTGGGAAACGAACGCGCTATTGTCCTTTCCGGGGAGTAACGCTTTCACCACCACACCATGCGGGTCTTTCGTTTCGCCTGTCTCTCAGCTATTTCTATCGATCTTTTTGCCACAGCAAGGTGTGTAGCCGCAGGTGTCTATGGTGGGGAAAAAATGATCCCAAAAATGATCCTGATGATGCACGAGAATATACGTCATTAGCGAAACACTGTTGGGCCGGTCACATAATAACAAGCGCAGATGACAAATATGCGAAAAGAGCAGTGGAATGGGCTCCGAGAGAATACATGCGTCCTCAAGAAGGATCACCCAAACGACAGGAGGACGTGATCGCGGTTAACGTCAACAACTTCCAATCTCAAATGGAGGCGATTTCAGAATTATAGAATGGGCTTTGCCCGCGTTACCATGTTCGGAGTGGACGACCACCATGGACAACGGTTGAGCAAAAAAGAAATAAGTCGAAGTTATGTTAGGACCCGCGCAAGCTGTGATGACGGGCCACTCAGGTATCCAAATGGGTAAATTACGTTAAGATATTGAACTGATACATCGGCAGAGCAGCGCAAGCTATTGCTATAGCCTGATGAGCATTGAACCAGATGAAGTGTAATTGCAAGAGAAGAAATTAAACACTTGATACAGGTGACGTACCGAAATTAACCATTGTTCATTGGGAAACAAAGGATTTGTTAATCGCTTTTTAGCCCAAGGTTGTTCCCTGGACGAAACTAAAACACTACATTTTTAACAAAATATTGGTTTCATTACTCAGCTTGGTTACCCAAGTTCAGAACTAGTTCCACACATGCGTTGTGGTCCTTCGGTTAACGGTAAACCTATGACACAGGTGAGATGTCCCTCTCTACCTCCTCCCTAAAAAACGAAACAAGGGAATGCGACGGAGAAGTAAAGAGTATACTGGTTCGCAACTTCAGTTACACTATTATCAGAAGAACTACAGGTAATACAGCTAATGGTCAGCATCTCTACAACATGTTGTCGCATCGTTTCTTCTCTTTCTTCCTCCTAATCCCACTTCGTCTACGCCACCCCTCTACCTAAGATGCTCTAAATCCGCATATTTCGACATATCTGCGACTGTTTCGCTTGCAGGACGTCCCTACCTTTCCCACTCTCTCTCTTTCCCTACCCTCTACGCTTCTATTTCTCTCACTTTCGTTCTGTACCTCTTACATCATCTCCAAATCTCCTTCATTATTCCATCTTACCCTTTAGCACTCATTTTTTGTACCTGATATTCGAAATAGCTCTACTCGTACGAATTGTACAACACTGGGAAGCCAGCGATAACAGTGGATGTGGCTTTAGAAGTGAGAATGTTCTTGTATATAAGGCTTCCATTGTCCCTCTACCTCTAGCATTCATTCCCTTTGTCGTCCTCCTCAACTCGCTATCATTGAAATGTTGGCACTGAATTCGCCGTTTATTCTTCTCATGTGTTCTATGTTAGGATTAATTAATATTGGTACGATCTGTCCCTGTGACAACTGAAACAACAAAGGATAAAGACTTACCCTCCACCCATCTTACTGCATTTCATCGTTTGTCAGAAGACAGTTGAACTCGTAAGCGTAACGAGTACGAATAGAAGGTGATATCCTTCCACAGATGTCCTCTCATTTTATCTACATTCCTGTTTGAACTGTCCAGCAAGTCATAGTGGCCTCCTAGATTTTTTTCTAGCATCCTTCTCTTGCACCCCTACTCCCTGGTTTTTGTCATAAATTACGAACTCACCGAGTAATCGCCAGTCGACAGTTCTTCGTAGTGAGGGTGCCAAGATATCGATCCGCCAGCCAGAGTATTCTATGACTCGGCAACTCACTCCACAGCATTGTTCGTTTCTGGAAAAAATAGTTGTCCTGTTCATTCCTTGAGCTTTATTTCAAGTGAATCCAGAGCGTAGTGTCACAATAAATTCATATAATGGGATAAATTCATTTATTGTGTGAAATAAGATGAAATGCGATCAACAAGAAGCGTTCATGATTCGAAGACCCAGCGGTGATTGCGTTTTCCAGTTCTTCCATTCCTCCCTTCTAAAGAAAAGCTCGCTCTTCTTAATAACTGGAAGTCTCCTTATCGCATCGTTCAAGGGTAGAAAGCAACGCTCAGAGATATCCAAAGTTGAATTGAATGGTCATGCCATTGTTTCGAAATGTTCCACTTCAATTTTCCGTGTTTTACGGTGTCACCAGCACAATTGTTTCTTTCCACTGAACATTTTATTTTGGGCAATGAGCGACGATGCAGGTTTCCCCATGACAGGAGATGGCGACATCAAAATCTCGTACTCATTCGTTCGTAGCCTGCAAGAGTTGGTTTCCTAATACTACATTTTTATACACTTAAGCTCCCCCAAGCAGAAAAAGTGACTTTACGACAAACCAATGCTTTCCAAAGACGTTGCCTAAAGTAGTAATGTTCCTGTTCTGGGGGGTAGTATGTTTCCTAAGTGCCTCATTGCTTATCTAATTCCATTATATCTTCAGATGCGAGGAGCTTTGTCGTTCTCTTTGCATAGAGGAGAGCTGCGGTCAGATGATGAAGACCAGGGAAGACGAGTTAAAGGTATTCCTGCTCGGTGTGGTTGTTGAGTAGTAAAAGTATGAGATATCTTGCCGTCGTACGGTTTCTTGTTCGAAACACTCTTTCATATAAAAACTTTCACCTAGAGAAATAAGAGGGAAGCATTTGCTCCCTACTGAAGTCGATGGTAGGAGGACATGTTTCTCTGATTCACTGTACTTCTTCGAGGTTCGCAACATCGCTGGAGGGTTCGTGCTTGCGGTAAGCGATGAGACGACTATTCGTCGTTTCATCATTCTTGGAAGCAGCGGCGGAACCTACTACAGTAGAAAAAAGCAATTAACTATGGATAACGTGAAAGCTTTGATTGACATCATTGAACGAGGTAAGAGCTGAATATTGAATGTGAAGCTTAAGATTTGGTTAAGAGGACACTCTTCCCACATTTCTGTGGCAGAGTCGTTTTCTCTATTAAGGTCGAGGGAGTTTGATCCTGAAAGAGGTCTACGAAGTTTCACGCGCAGGCCGAAATCCTAAGCAGGATCCTTTGCTATTAGCTCTCGCGGTATGTGCAAGGTACGTGTTTCCCATGAAATTGTAGGGAAATTTGCAATGTTTTAATGAAAGTAAAGCCATCGTTAAAGCATTTTTGTTCATGATTCCCCTGAAGCACTGTGGTGCAAACGGTTATCATATAAGGATAATCGGAAAGGTTCTTCCTAAGGTACAATGTTTGCGACTCGATTTCGAAATTGAGTGGGAATAAAGAAGCCCTTGAAAGAGGAGATGTCGCTGCAGCGAAACTCAAGTATCTCCATGAACTACACAAGTCGGCATTAGAAATTGTTAACGAAGTGAGTTCGTTTGGTACAAAAAAATGATTTTGAAAGGGCCTACTGTTCGTTCCTAAAATGCTTCAAATCGTTAGGTTATTGTTTAGGTGTGTCGTATTCCCAGTCATCTGTTTACGTTTGTAAAATACTGCGAGATGGTCTCTCAATCAGCCCAGTCAGAAAGTGGGAAGAAATCCACCGGATGGGGTCGTCTCATGAGGAGCGCTATCCAGCGATGGTTAGATTTCTTCACGTTTTATGTGATATGTTTATGTAATATCCACATTTTTCCATATTGTTCCAGGTATGCCAGCAAAACCCCTGGTCAACTGGCCATGCACCTCACAAAGTATCCGCAGAGAGACGGATGGTCTCATCGTGATCTTTTCCGGTTGGCCCATCCCACGTTGAAGGTGTCCAATTTTCCGACGACGATTCTTGAATACGAGCAGTTGTTTCACTTTGCTGCCAGAGGTACTTCCATAGTGTTTACTTAATTCGTCTGTCATTTTTTACTCTAGTTAAACCATTCTTTAGGCAAGCTGAAGACCCGAAAACGTAATCTGTCAAAGGAAGACGCAGATGTCGAACAACCTGCTGCAAAGTACAGTGCGGTACAAATGGATACTGAGCTAAAAAGCAGGTTCGCATTCTCGACTACTCTGTTTGGTTGGCTTATGACTCCTTCAAACAACGTTTTTCACTTTACTTGTTTACTGTGCAGGGCGCTTGATCTTGTCGAAGCAGTAATGGCCTTAAAAAATGAGAAGGATGAAGCGAAAGTTGTAGCGGCCATTAAGAAACACCGTGAGTTCTCCATGTCTTTCAAGTCTGTTCCGCTTATTCATTGGCTCTTAATAGGTCTGGTTCGCCAACACATACCAACTGACATGCTCAATTCGGTTGCTGTCTGGCAAGCTCTGTTGGAGAGAATGCCGATGACTGCGATGATCAGAAACCTCGGGAAAATGCAATCGATTGGAGTGCTTACCGAGTAACATCCTAACTTCTTTCTAATACATATATAGGAATGGAGCATTCGTTTAGTATGTGCATTATTCTTGCTTACCAACTGCCTGTTCTATTTTTTCAGCTCATTTCGAGCTTCGGTCGTCGCTAGGCTCACTAATGAAGAAGAGCTTAAGCGTGCAAGAATCCATCCAATTCATGTGATTTTACCAATATTTTCTTTGCTTAGGGGATTTTAATGTTGTCCATATATTATAGTTAAGTGTTTTGATTTTATGTAGGTTCTGATGGCAAAAGCCGCATACGAATCTGTTCACGGAGGCATCCGCGAACTGAGCTGGAAAGCAAATGAAGAAGTGGGTAGAGTTTTAGTTTAATCAATTCCACATTTGTACTACTTTGCAATCAAAATTTTTAAGATCAGTGAAGCTCTTGAAGTCGCTTTCTACAAGTCGTTCATTAACGCTCCACCCACGAATAAACGCTACTGTTTTGCTTTCGGTATGTCAGATATTCTTAGGTTTTGACTGTTATGTTTGATCCTGGCTAATTGAAGTTTTCTGTATTTCTAACGTTTTAGGACGTTTGTGGAACTCAATATCTGGTACCTTGCTATCGTGTCAATATGCAAGTGTAGCGCTTTCTCTCGTAAGTCTGAAGAACGAGAAAATTGTGAGTAATCGCTTTCCATTGATTTATATGAACTAAGCGATCCTGTAACATACTCTAGACGCTAGCTATTATAGGTAGAGTGCGTTGGTTTCTCTGATGATCTCATTCAGTTGCCGTACAACAGAGAATGGACGATTTCAAGAATTATGGAGCACATGGATGGATTCGATGTCGGATAGCTTCTTTTTGTTTTCGTTTAATTTTCTTCCCTTCTTAACGCTTTGTTTACTAGGGTCGGATTAAGTGGAATATATTGAGAAAGAGTTCAATCCACTGTTTTACAATTACTTGCTGATTCCTTTATTATGCTGCTGTTTAGTATGGTGCGACCGACTGCGCTCTGCCAATGTTGTGGGCAAAGGAAAACAACAAGAAATTTGATGTCTTCGTGGTTTACACAGACAATGAGATTTGGTTTGATGATGTGAGCTCTTAAGCTTTTAACGTATTCGAAATATATCGTCGCATTTGAAGGTCCTTTAGGCTTGGAATGACATGTCCAGTAGTATCCTCATTTTTGATGAGTTCGCTGACCAGTAGTGACTGTAAATTCTATTTCATCATTTGTCAAGTACGTCAAAGACGACTTGTGATTTTGCTGCGATCAAATTTGAATTTCACCAATTTAAGGATGGTTTGTTAGTGGCAGTTTAGATTGTTTTATAACTGAATTTTCAAGAAATTGTGTAGTAGAGCACCATGCCACTCATAGTGAAGGCGCTAGGACGAAGTAAGTTTTTCTTTCTTAATCTCCAAGTGCTGTATTTATCGTAAGGTTATCAACAGTCGTGAAAGATACTCGAATATTGAAAGTACTGCTCTTCGCACATGTGCATGTGCTAATGGAGGATCTTCAGGTCCACCCATACCAGGCACTGCGAGATTATCGCGAGTCATCGGGCATCGTCGATGCTAAGTTGGTTGTAATGGGAATGACAGCCACTGATTTCACCATTGCTGATCCAGAAGACGCTGGAATGCTGGATATTGTAGGCTTTGACTCTGCTGTCCCTACATTGCTCCGTGATTTTGTGACGGGGAAGATCTAAATCCACTTTTTCAAATCAGCCTTACCTCTTGTAAAAGTTATGTTCAGATACAGGTTTTCATACAAAAACGTGTATAACGGAAGTTGTTTTGTATGGTTTTATCTCCACATGTGAGCATTATTTTGGTGTTTTCCTTTTCTTCAAGTAAATTTTCTTCGGAGTACTCTCTAGTTTCCAGAAGAGCTTTATTGTTATTTTTAAGGTCTTTTTCGAAGTGCCGAAGTAAAACCAAAATATGTCGTGGTTTACCCACAAGGCTTTCCCTACGTGCGGCCACAAAACTTAGCAAACAAAGTCTGAAAACCGTGGTCAATCTTGATCTCCTTTATTTTTTTGACAGGCTTTTCAGGTGATTAAGTTTCCAACAAATCGACGAATAGTCACATCGGCGCAGCCAACACCATAACAGGGTTAATAAAGTGGAGAGCTCAGAAGCAATCATATGTCTGTCGTATGAAACCATTATAATTGGAAGTCTTCTACCAAAGCTATTGTCAGCACAACTGTTAGAACATTCGAGTAGCGACATTCACGTGAGCAAACAACGTTCAGTGACGAGTGAGGCTACAAGAAGTGATGGCTACAGGTCATGAGACAATGAGGCCTCCTAGGTGAGAAGGAACGGGTGCGAGATCCATTATCCTGCACTTGGTTGTTATTGACCTAAGAAGTCTTTAGTTATATTGAGATCTACGCGATCATGAAAGCTTTGTACAATCACTGCTTCTCTGCAGACTTGAGAACTATCCTTTTTTGCAACAGTTTCCTAGTGAGGATTTTGTCAGTTTACAACGATCCAATTACTGATGTGCAAGTGATTGGCTTGGCAAGTCGAACCTGCCTCACCAATAATTGACGACATTTTCGAAAAAATTATATGAAGAGAATAACATGGAGTGGACGATGATTGTTTGTTACTATATCACTATGCGTACAGTGGTCATTCCGCTGATACGACACCAAGCACGATCCATAGGACAACCTTGTTAATCGGTCTTAACTACATTTATTAGTTCAATTTTCGGGTGAGCCTAATGAATACGATGTTGATAAAGCATGGACGCATTCCTGATAGCTCAGCGTAACGAACATATTTCTGCACTCAAGCCACATCAGTTTGAAGTTTCCAGATTTGGTCACGAAGAAGCGACTCGCATGACCAAGCTACAGAAATCAGCAGATGTAGTGAAGAGTACGAAGAACTTCAAAGCGGTCATCTGGGTCTTTCTGCTCTAAAATACCTCTCAGGAATCCGAACGCTTAGACACGACGCTTCTGGATCGCACATAAGAGCACTGCGCCCAGATATTTATACATAGGCAAATTGGCCTGTATACATTGGATATGACAACGAACTTGTCCGAACAGACTTCGAATCCATTCTAGAATCACTTAATTCTCAAAATACATCTTTCGGAAACATCTGCTATATCTTTAATTATTTTATCAGAGAAACCAGTGTAACTAGAACGAAGCACCGAACGTCTTTGGTTGGAAACTTATCGAAAAACAGAAAAATCCTATATCGTGCAATTATGCAGATCATGGTCTGAACTATACGAGAGCACCGAGAAGCACTGGAAAAAGTTCAGTAAGTGTTTAACACGAAATATAACGATGAAACTGTGATAGAAATGACGAGTTTTGCTGATCTTCCAGCATTCGTGTCTGCAGTAGTTGCTTCTTCTGATTTTGAACTTCGTAGCCGTCGCATTGAGACGAATCGAGTCTCCAGTCGCACAATACGAATGAAGTAGTGTTATCCAGCATTTCTTTTTTCTTTACCGGGCAATACGTCAGCGTAGCCAGTAGTCCCGGATGGTGTTCGGCGGTTGTGCCGTTATCACAGACGTACTAGCAAACATCTGCAGGTATTGGTTTTGTCGGATTCTTTTCATGTGGTTTTCAAACAATGAGTTCACAGCGGTGAAAGTTTTTGTCTTCCGCTTTTCTCCACGAGCAGCTGTTTTTGACGGCAATTTAACAAACGGAATTGTTGATATTTAACGATAAACATGTGGCGCTACGAAATTTTATCGGCGACACCTAATGTGAGCCGTCATGACAACAAAAAGTTGGTGGATTTAGTTGGCTTAGAGTGCACAGTGACGCCAGGTAACAGGCTATGATGAGCTGAGAGAACTTCAAAAAAGAAAAATGTACTTCGTTTTCCCTTTTTCAATAGAATACCGTTCACTACCAATACATTGGATCTAGCGGAAGTTCTGCCGAGAAGCACAAAGTAGTAATAGTACGACGAGAACATAGCCAGTTATGTTGACATTGGTAAAGCCAGTAGGCACCAAAACTCGAAGTTGGTTTCAAATCAAGATGACAGTCTACTTAGGACAAACAGATTTTTTTTATTGTTAGATCGGCTTAAGCAGTGATTCGAAAGAAACCGCTTTTTCTGTTGATCTGGTGAAACTAATCACTTATAGATCTAAGCGCTACAGCTCCAACTATCTATTAATACTAACCAATATGTTATACCTTTTTATTTTCTGCCTACTATCATTTCGCGGCAGGGTACTAAGCGAAATACAACCACAACGTTGCTGAGATATTTGCAAAACTCTGGACCGCAGGTGTCTATGGTGGGGAACGAACTCGCTATTTTCCTTTCCGGGGAGTAACGCTTTCACCACCACACCATGCGGGTCCTTCGTTTCGCCTGTCTCTCAGCTATTACTATCGATCTTTGCCACAGCAATCACCCGTCAGCGGGATTAACCAATATCATTGTAAATAATAGTTAGCTTCAAGTGTAATTGCAGACTGCACAGCGTTTCTTTCTCATTTAACACTGATTGTTTTTAGCGCGCACCACTTGAAATTGAGAAATAATAGTTCGAGTTTCGTTACAAATTTCACAAAGTTTCAAAGGATCCATCGTCGATCGGCCATCTAGGAATGTGCCTTACACCAGGCGCAGTTAAGTACTGAAAAAGTGATTGAATGCAAATTTGGTCTTAAAAATGCACTGCGGATCTATTAGACAAGTCGGATACCAACTTGCCGACCCTATATGGTGATCGGAAGCTTGGTCAGCTCGGGATGCGGGTCGAACCAACAACGGACCTAGGGTGTACCACAGAGCACCCCTGACCGCTGCGAAAAGTAAGTCCCCTGAAAGATTTCGTATAGTCAACAATAAGTGCCTCAAACTGAAGACATAGGAATTCCCTTCGAGATTATATTATTTCGATGTTTGCTAGCACTTCATGCATGGCGCCGCTCTTTCGGCGTTCCGATGACGTGACTACTAATCGGCAAATAGATATATTTCGTCAAGTCGCGTTACGAACTACTTATGTGCCATAGGTAAACATTACTGATCTAAAGAAACTCTTCAGCAAACACCGTATGACCTATAGATAAGTAAATAACTATTTGATCATGTCGAAATTCCACTGGGAACATTGGAATGACCGGTATGAAGATGAATATATGATTGTGGATGACAACAGATGAAACCAAGTTCTTGTAGAAAATCAAAGAACAAAAGCCAGTTAATCAAGGCGTTGTAATAGAGAACCCTATGTATTTTATTTACAATAGTTACAATCAATAAACAGCTAAAAATAGTCAAAATTTTATTCGAAAATAGACAGGAATTAAACTATCAACAAGTTCGATCGATAATAGCCACCGATCAATATATAAAATTATAAAACTTGAAATTAGTAGCCGACACTTTTCTTATCATTGCTCGTAACACCGTTTTCATCAACTGCTTACTCACTTACTGTCTTTACTTTCTGTTTCATTTTATTTGATCCGTCTTCACATCTACTGTGCAGATCCCAGCACTTCTCACAACCAGCTCGTTTCCTCGCATCCAATGTCCACGAAGATCTTCCAAATTTTTACCTGTGGTTTCGGTTGCTGCTTGAGAATTTTCATTTCATCTTGAATGTCATAGAATTCTGGTCGAGCAATGCTCCTGGAGTCCTGAGATAGCCGGGCTGGAACGTTCCCAACTCGATTGCAGAGCGTGATTTTTTCCCAGACAAGTCCGGTAGCAATTTCCCGACCTTGGAGAGATTAGAGGCTTGGGTGGCCGGTGCGGAATCGAACTAGTACCGTGGTCGTGATGACGGACACCACTGCCACTGTGCTATCCGCCCTCTTTCAGTTGTTGCTATATTTGTAATTTTAAAAGCAGAAAAACAGAGAGTTGTTCTTTTGTGCCTTTTTTACTCCGAATAAACCCAAGCTTTTTTTGCATTCTCCTCATTGTTACATGAAAGATCCACTGTTGCACCTCTTTCGCTTTTTTATTTAAAAGCTCTCAATATCTCATTGTTGTAGGCGCAAGGCCATCCGAGTTTGCATACCGTCTTTACTGCCACTGAATATTTAATATTGTGCTCTATAAAGAGCGCAGTTATATGGAAAAGGCAAAGTATAAAGTGCTTGGTGATGACCGATCCTCTTAAGATGCAGCATGTATTCGACTCCATTCGTAATGTCGTAGAAGTTCATTAGAAGCATGACACTGCAAAAATATGGCTTGGAATTTTTTCTACGCTTAGAATCTGGTATCGCATTTGTTATCTTTTCTTTCATAAAAGTGATTTTTTTGTCATGTTTCATGAAAAGATTTTTAACAACCTCTTATAAACTGAACAATTTAAGGGAAAGTATTAATTATTTGTGTTGGGAAGAAGTATAAGTCTGTTTGGAAAAGTTGGTTTAGTTTGATTAAGTGCCAAACCTTTCAAACGCGCATCATTCCATTCCTGAGCTTCTAATAGATCACTAAAACCTAGTTTCCTAGGAATAAGCTTGGTAAGAAATGTTTTAAAGGAGATACCTTTCCCATCCTTGGTGGTTTGATGGAATTCGATATAACTCTTATATAATGCTGAGATATTTGCAAAACTCCGGGCCGCAGGTGTATGTGGTGGGGAACGAACACGCGCTGTTCTCCTTACCGGGGAGCACCGCACTTCACCACCACACCATCCGGGTCCTTCGTTTTGCCTGTCTCGATA